AGATACGTCCATCACAGCTACATACGCCCAACACAGCTAGATACGTTCATCACAGATATCCCCATCACCGTTATAGATTTCTATCACAGTTAGATACGTCCACCACAGCTACATAAGCCCACCACAGCTAGATACGTCCACCACAGCTACATAAGCCCACCACAGCTAGATACGTTCATCACAGCTACATAAGCCCACCACAGCTAGATACGTTCATCACAGCTACATAAGCCCACCACAGCTAGATACGTTCATCACAGCTACATACGCCCACCACAGCTAGATACGTTCATCACAGCTACATAAGCCCAACACAGCTAGATACGTTCATCACAGCTAAGCCCACCACAGCTAGATACGTTCATCACAGCTACATAAGCCCACCACAGCTAGACACGCCCATCACAGCTACATAAGCCCACCACAGCTAGACACGCCCATCACAGCTAGATAAGCCCACCACAGCTAGACACGCCCATCACAGCTAGATAAGCCCACCACAGCTAGATACGTTCATCACAGATAGATATCCCCATCACCGTTATAGATTTCTATCACAGTTAGATACGTCCACCACAGCAAGAAACGTCTGTCACTGGTTGATACGTCGACCACAGCAAGGTACGCCCACAACAGCCTGATATGCCCATCACACGCAGATGTCCACATCACAGCTAGATACATATATAACTGTTAGACACCTCCCTCCTCAGAGAAATATACAAGAAAAATAAAAACAAAATATCCAAACCAAGTAAAGAAAAACACAACAGCACGCTAAGAATCGTCAGATCGCGTCCAGAAAATCTCTCGAACACCAAGAAAACTGCCATCATCCCTAAATCTCTAAGTGTGCGCGCGCACGCAAGCACGCACGCACGCACGCACACACACACACACACGAAATCCCGCCAAACATCGGACAAGATCACAACGCTTCAAGAAAGTCCACCAAACACCAAAAAAACTCACAGCACTCTGGAACAGCCCCCGAACACTGGGAAACGTCACATAATTTCTAGAAAGTCCCCAGAACATCGAGAAACGTCACATCATGTCTAGAAAGGTTCCCAAGCATCCAGGAGAAACGTCACATCATGTCTAGAAAGGCTCCCAAAGATCGAGAAACGTCACGTCATTTCTAGAAAGTCCCTAGAACACCCGAAAATGTTACATCATGTCTTGAAAGTACCGAGAACACCCGGATACTTCACATCATGTCTTGAAAGTCCCCAGAACATCGAAAAACGTCAGATCATGTCTAGAAAGTTTTCTAAACATCGGGAAACGTCACATCATTTCCAGCAAGTCCCCAGAATATCCAGAAACGTCACATCATGTTAGAAAGTCCCTCAAACATTTCATCATATCTCTAAATTCATCTTAGCACATCACGTTTGCAAAAGTCATCTTAATGCATCTAGAAACGTCACATCACACATCTTGATACATTCACAAACGTCACATCACGCCCCGAGCGTCTCCAAAACATAAAACATCACATTGCGTCTACAAAAGAACCTCAATACATCCAGAAACGTCACGTGACATCCACAAAAGTCTCCGAAATATCCGGAAACACCACATCACGCTCAGCAAGTCGTCGAAACACAGAGAAAAGACATCAAAACTGTATTGCCGCTGTTCTTGGAGGGCATATTTGTATATGAATAGTATGCACCCATTACATGACTGCAACTCTGGAGGTGTTGCCGGCACAGGCTACCAGTGCCAATAAATGCTCTCCTCTTCACAAGAATGGTACTCATGTGTAATGACGAAGCAGCTGTGTTGATGGTACTAATTTGTCAACACGTTGACATGTGTATCGACAAAACATGCGTTGCCAATATGCATGCACATATGTTTGCAAGCAAAAAATCCCATATCCTGTTCAGTAAGTGGTTCGTTTGTTCCTAGGCGCGCAGAGTTTTTTGTGTAGATATATGTTTTGACTGCTATACGTTTACCGAGAGCGTCGAGGAACATATTCCAGGTTGTTGCATTACTTATGTCACTCTGGCACATATCCGCAAGACTTCAAATTAAAGAAGAGACTTCGAAGAGAACAGAATATTAATAAATAAATACGTTTAACTGAGTGAACAATTTGAGAAAATATGCAAGTGCTTGTGTGTCCAGGTGAAAGATCAAAGGCGCCGAAAGCCAGGTGTAATTTTGATCGAAAGTGATATTCGCTTCGACGTGTTCAGCTGGGCGATCAACAGCAATCACTACGAAGACATGTCGATAACATTTCATTATCAGATACAAGAACCACTTATCGATTTGATCTATGTTACTTACCATTTCATGACCTATTCTTCACGTGGAATAACATATATAAATATAACACATATATATTAATATAGACATTTATTATTTTTTGCAATAAAATTGGAAATACACACACTTAACTGCTTTAAACAAAGCGTATGTTTACAGTTGACCATTGCAATGCATTGCTTAATCAACTGTGAAATCATACACCCTTAAACGCTGTCACTGAATAAACATACTGATATGTATCCATTATTCTAAAAACTTATGTCAATAGAATTTCATCATTGTTCCTATTATGTGTTCTGTTCAATGAACGATCATTTTCACCAGAGTACCATTGTGTAAACAAAGGTGAAACGTGCATACGACACGTGATTGATAGCCGGCTTTAGAAGCTATGTGTGACAGCCAGTGTGAAATTGACAAAGTTTTCAAACCATGAAGTGCTCAGTCATACTTATGATACTTAACAATGCAACGAATGAATACTTATTTATGTACAAGTTCCCTAAGTATACATTGTAGACACATACACTGAAATAACATTTAAATGGGTACTGCTGGTTGGAATGGGTTAGATGTTGGTTTTGGTTGAAAGGTCTTGGTAAAAAACAGATGGAAGAGAATACATTTAAAAAAAATCTTTCTGTCCATGGCCATGCATGCATGATTTATTGGTACATATCTACAGTAATTGCCTATGACAAATGTTAATTAAAATCATGCAAATTGCCTTCACGCTGTATTTGTGAAATGTACAATGTATGAGTGAAATGTACAATGTATGAATGAGATGTACAATGTATCAGTGAAATGTACAATGTGTCAGTGAAATGTACAATGTGTCAATGAAATGTACAATGTATCAGTGAAATGTGCAATGTATCTGTGAAATGTACAATGTGTCAATGAAATGTACAATGTATCCGTGAAATGTACAAAGTTTCAGTGAAATGTACAATGTATCAGTGAAATGTACAATGTGTCAGTGAAATGTACAATGTGTCAGTGAAATGTACAATGTGTCAATGAAATGTACAATGTATCAGTGAAATGTTCAATCTATCAGTTCAGTTGATAAGTGTTTTGCATCAGTGAAATGTACAATGTGTCAATGAAATGTACAAGGTATCAATGAAATTTTCAATCTATCAGTTCAGTTGAGAAGTGTTTTGCATCAGTGAAATGTACAACGTGTCAATGAAATGTACAAGGTATCAATGAAATGTACAATGCATCTCTGCAGTTGATAAGTGTTTTGGGGGAACGTTTTGCATCAGTCAACACCATGAGATCAGTTCATGGAAATATATCATCGTTGATGAATATGCTGGATACTATCAATTACCAGCATGTGAAAAAGGAATGTCTAGGAAGAACTACAGTTTGAAGAAAATCAATTTGAATAAAAAGGAAAGTCAAGCAGTTTTTTTCTCTCCCTCCACCGAACGCAGGAGTTTTGCGTGCCACAATGGAATAAATAAATAGTTCAGCTGAGATTATTTTAAAAGATTTCCATCACATGCTTTTTTCGTAAATGAAACTGGTGATTGAGGAGTGTGTCAAATCGAGAAGTGAGTTGGCCTAAAAAAGTTTCCCGAAAAATCGAGTAATGAAAACAAAGCGTAAATCAAGGGCTACAACAAGGTTTTAACACACTCACTGCGCCTCAAATGTAGCATCCAAATAAAATGGCTATTTTATGTTCACTCCTGCGGCTCTGTTGAAAAAATCTCTTTAAAAACACAACCATCTGATGTAGACTATTTAGATTACAGCTTTTATGGTGTTTTGGGTTGTCAAACAAATACAGCAGGCTTCTCTCGCACTTACAGCAAAAATAACGCTTTTCTCGAAATCCATCTGCGTTGGCAAGAGGGATGCAAAGAAATTTGAGAAGTTTCCATTTGAAACAAGTATTTAGTAAATTTCCAGCAATTACTTGAGGCGAGCAGTCTTCAGGCCACCGTGGACGCTCGCTCTCGATTTTCTCAATTTCCCCAACCCACCAGGGAGCGATTTAAAAAATGAACACTATCTACATGGCAGAGCAAAGCATGGACAAGACAAGAGATGATTACATAAATCGGACGCACACGCTTGAGAACCACCCCTCTGACTAATCTACATTCAGGGTTAGTAGACAGTTGTAATTTCTGTTAATTTGTACAACCGAGCAGGGATCAGGTTTAGTCAAATAGGCCAGTCTGGCGTTCGTCAGAATATCTTAGTTCTGTTGAGAACTGACAAACGTTCATTAAAGCTCCTTTCCGTCAGTTACAATGTCTGAACTTCGATAACATGCTCCTCAGATCGAGTTTGTCAGATTACGCTCTTTATCTCACTAAAATATGCCAGTCGACGGTCGTGGGTCTATGATCTAAGCCGATCCTCGGGGTTTCCTTGAAACTGTGCCGGGAGACGCGTCGATGGGAACCACGGTATAAAACGGTGGGCTCAAGACAGTCCCACTCTCAGAGACAGACTCAATATAATTGTATGGACGAAAACTGAATCTTCCCCCTTAGTATCAGGTCTCGGTGGCTAAATAATAAAGGCGAGCTCTCTAAACACGACAGGCGAGTTATTTATGTTTAGCTTCGCGTTAAGCTGATATCGTATTTTCTCGTTCCAGCTTCTTTGTTCTAACTTACAGATATCAAATAAACTTTACTGCGTCTAATACGAAAAGGCAATAATGAAGTAAAGTTTGTTACCTTCTAACGGAGGGTTGGTTCGTATTGGCGCTGCAGCAGCTAAAATCAGTTGGCTTGGATATTTGGCTCTTACTGCTCGCGGCTCGACGAGTTTGACTGGGCCGTCTCACTCAGGTAAAGTCATATTATGTCCTGTTTTTTAATTGTAGCTTGCGCGAGGGGATCTCCCCTTCACTGTGGGGCTTCGGTATCCGTTTTTAAGGCCATTCCGTGCCGCTGACTATTGTAGAACCGCGAAATGGCAAACTTTGAATGGGAAAAATAAAACTTGATATTTTTTGAGGTTTTGCATGATGTGTGTACGTTGAAATTGAAACCTTCTGTACGGGTGAAATCTACATTGACTAAACTGAAATCGACAAGCAGGTGGTTGGTCTTTCGTTATCGGAGAAGCGTTTCATTGAGAAATCTCACAGCTTGTTGTTACTCCTTTCGGAAACTGAATTATTCAAAGGTATTAAAGTATTGAATCAGTGGTTCTTTAATGTACTTGAAATAGACAAGCATCAAAAGTTTGCTTTGAAATATAAATCTTTTTGTGTATTTAAAAGAAATCGGTTGATATTGTGCAATGACACGTGTCGGGTAGAATGAAGTGGTTTATCATTTGAGGGTTCGTTTGTCGGATGTAATGGTTTTGCCTATGTTTAACTATTAATACAATGCTATTTACAGAAACATTCTTCACCTTATACCACAACGCTGGTTTCAATTAAAGTTTCGGTTAAAGACTGATTAAACGAAATTGACAATATTATATCTGTGACAGTGACGGAGTCTAACATTAATGGTTGATGCGCCTATACAGGCGACAATGTTTATTCCTGCTCATACTTGAATGAGTGGCTACATTTTAACAAGGAAGAGGAATAGATATTTGGTAGTTAGAGTTTAAAAATTGCCAATGCATTCATATTCACCGCCATTTTCCTTGCACGTGAAAGATAGATCTTACCTATTGTTATCTAATCTCCTCTTGCGGTCAGAAGAAATACATAACATATGCAACAGAAGATGTTAGTTCCGGAGAGTTGTTTTCAAATCACAGGTCACTTTAATTGTTTGTATTTGAATTTTTATAAGAATATTGCATAAAAATAGTGAGATTGAGTGAAAAGAAAAGCAACAGAAATTGTATCTCAGCTGTTTTAGACCTATGTTTGCATTGTAATTTATAAGATCACAAGTTAGTGAGAGTGCATTCAAGCAATGTTGAATACTTCTACAAGTTTGATTTAAAACTTTTAGAATTGAAGAAAATATTACCATTATACGCAACTGCATTTGGGATATCTTTGACATTGCATCTTTGTGAATCAATCTGTTTGCTTTTATCGGCAGACATTTAGATTTCCAGCATGACAGATATCATGTGGTTGCAAATTCATTCTTATCCTAGACTCCTTTGAACCAGTTTGTTTTTACACAGAAATACACAGCCACGGTTTACTTTTTTGCACAGAAATACCAAGCCGCAGTTTACTTTTTACACAGAAATACCCAGCCACAGTTTACTTTTTTACACAGAAATACCCAGCCACAGTTTACTTTTTACACAGAAATACCCAGCCACAGTTTACTTTTTACACAGAAATACCCAGCCACAGTTTACTTTGTACACATAAATACCCAGCCACAGTTTACTTTGTACACATAAATACCCAGCCACAGTTTACTTTTTGCACAGAAATACCCAGCCACAGTTTAGTTTTTTACAAACTGTTGCAGCATTGAGTGATGGTTAAATAGACACAATCAAATTTAAAAACAGTTCTGTTCAGTTTGCAGTTACATGAACAACAAAGTCAGTATGCTTTCTTTTACCTCACAGTTTATTTGTGCTGGTTTGTTTGTTTGCACGGCCACGTCAGTTAGTTAGTCAGTTTTCAACCAAGTACAGACTGTTTACAAAATCAATAAACGTATGCACGTGATTACCACTGACTTGAACGTGGGATGTCGATTTCAGCCATGTACATATCAATAATACATCACCGGATTTAATCTTGTTTCCTTTATTCATACGGCATGTGCACATTACCTAGACAAATGTTTTAACTACCTGTGAACATATCAACCTATGACTATAGTTGTTATAGTTTGATTAAAGTTTACCAATAAATACATCTGTAACAAACTGAAGTGCACGCACCTGAACATATGCTGAGGTGGCTTTCAAATGTTAAATCAGATAGATAGAATTTATGATTTATTAAGTAATGATACAACTTCCCATGGTTCTGTCATGTGTTATATTATTTTAGGTTTCAACAGACTGACGGTGTAAAGCTATACTGGACAAAATAAGTTAGGGATATTGGTATTTTTATGATTGATATTTTATCAGTATGTCAATGAATAAATAGATCATTATTCAGAATTTCAAAATTTACATATATCCCTAACTATTTTTGTCCAGTATATTTCACAGAACAAACTTGGTAAAGTACATATGACACGTATAAATGTATGTAATGTTACACCATACGTAAAAAGGTGTCGCAAGTAATCGACTATTTCATAAGTAATGTTCCAAACAGACGCACGTGGTCACACAATGAAATGTATTCAGTGAAATAGACACCTTGTCAATACCGCTGCCGAACTGTTCACACTTATGTGAGAAATAAAAACTTTGACAGGTTCCCTGTCTCCGCTGCGGGACGACCAGTGCCTGTGCTGATACACTTGGTCAGACGCTGACCACTGTTGGAACTAATTAGCACGTGCGTGTTGACCACGCACACCAAACGCGCAGCTGGGGAATAATTTAGCTACAATATTTCCCGAAATTGACAGCGAAGAAACAAGCTTGGCTGCAGTTATATTGGATTTCATTGACAGTTGATAAACAAGATGATGATAATAATAATAGAAAAACCAACACATAAACAAGGTGAAAGTACATGCTCATAAATTTACACATAATATTCGCGCCTATCTGTGAAGAATAGGACTGATTCGTTATTCTGTTATTAGTGACGGCTTGTTTATATTGGCAATGGCAATTTCCTCGATGTGAACAGGGAAATAGTAGTGAGAATTAAAAAGTCAATATTCCAAAGTACTGTCTGTAATAGATTTGCAACCACAAAACAAGTATAAACTTTAATTATGAGAGTAAAATATTACTTTCGATATAAATTGAATTATGAACAGAAAATTTATATCTTTTAACATGTTATTGGAAGAAATTGATTCGAATATTACACTTTGCCGATCACGCGCTGCTAGTTAACTTAACGTTTATAACAATAAACCAAACAACTTTGTTATTATCATAAATGTTGCAGTAATATACTTTAAAAAATGATTATAGATATGTAAATTGTAAAAACGATTTGGCTGAGTGAATGTATTACTTCAGTGAATGTATTACTTCCATTGTTCTCATTTTACATATGATATTCAAATTGCAGAAAATAAACCAAAATTTTGATAATAGCATTACCAAAATTCTTTGATCATGTAAACTATGCAATTTCACCGTAATCAGTTACAAAATGACAAAATTACCTTCACAGAATATAACAAAGTACCAATTTATCTTAAATATCAAGTTCCGAAAGTCAACAATATGATTATAATATTTGAACATCCATAGTAACCGTTCCGAGTCGAGATAATTGTTCGATCTGTTAAAGAAATCGGATCGTATGAAGGACTCATTAGTTTTGTTTCTCAAACAGGCGTGGTATCGACTTTAACTAGGATGAACTTAGTTACGGTTTGATGTAGATATCGTCTTACTGCCCCGAGGCCACACGAAGCATAACGATCTATTCTTGACCCAAACAAAACCTGCCTTTTCCTTTTCATTATATGGGATTAATAGGGTTATTACTCATAGTTTAACTAATTTCGTATTTACAAGCGAACAACAAACGAAGGAAACTTTTTACAATCAATTCAATAAGCTGTCACACTGTGGCATGATTTAATTGATGACGTGTACATTTCTGATGCACGCCTGACATATACAACGTATAAGAACACGTTTATTTTTATTGTAGCCCTTGTTTAGGTTATATGAGTTCTGCAGAAGCAGGGAACAAATAAAAGACTATTACACGTACACAGTACAGCGTGAAAACTGCGAGGCCGCTTTGTAAGGATCCGAATATTTTTCACGATTACAGTTAACAAGTTACTCTAAAGTTTACGTTCATTAATAGTGCATCTCTACACAATGACACTGACAGCTATATCCTAGAGGAATGATATTTCACAAAATGTGAATGATGCTCTCGTTGGAGATAATTTTTAGAAGATGACAATGCTCTGTTTAAAATGATAAATGTAAAATGCATCCATTCGGTTAAAGCAGTGCCTCATGTTAGGCATTGGTGAGAATTAGAAACTTCATGCGATTATGTGTGAGCTTGTATACTGATCAGCCAACAATTCACACATTGATGATGATGATAATGACGATGATGATGATAATGATGATGTAGGCTTGTTCTGTCCATTGACTTGATAAATATCCGGGCATATTTCCCCGCACTAATCACACATTCAGTGATGATAATGACGACGACGACGACTATGATGATGATGACGACGATGACGACGATGATGACGATGATGTAGGCTTCTTCTGCCCATAGACCTGACAAACATCCAGGCTTCCTTTCCCCCACTACACTAAAGCGTGTGGAAACCTCGTCAATATCTAGTGTCTATTGCAACAGCGTATTGACCGCAGCGGTGTCATGTTCGATAAATTGTTCAAATCAACGTCACCAGTAATGAATACAAAGTGCAGGACATGTCATATAAGTCATTGTATACCCAAAGGCATAATACGTGTCATCGTGTTCTTATTTAACAAGTCGTTATGTTTCATTACAAAACTTAATGAAACTCTTCTGTTTCCTTTCAGTTTTAATGATCTCTAATTTGCCGATATCCTTTTAAAAATGTACACTGTACCTGAGTTTAACATATTGTCTCTGTTCTTGACCCAGGTTGTTGACTTTCGCTTTATTTTATTCTGCGTTATAGATGAACATAAGTTTGGAAAGGAAAGGACGTTTGAGGTAGGAGTTTCTCTGACGAAAAT